TCTCCTTCTACCTGTCTGTAAGTCTGCCTCTCAAATAAATAAATGAATCTTTTTAAAATAAAATATGCATTAAAATGCATCATTGAACCATATACATATTTTATTTTAGTGAAAATATTTTTTAAAAATACTCTTTCCTTATTATCTTATTATCTGTTTTTAAATTGAGCTGAAGTGCACATAACATAAAATTAATCATTTAAAATGAAACATTCAATGTTGCAATACATTCAAATTGTTGTTCAACCAACAGCACTAATTCCTAATCATTTTCATCACCTTCCCCCACCAAAATATTTTTTCCTATAGCCATTAAACCTTCACTACCTTTTACCCCATCCCTCCACCACCTGGCAACCATCAATAGAAGTTCTCTATCCTAGTTTACACATGGTTTATTTTTATTTATTAGATAGAGATTGGGAGACAAAAAAAGGGAGAGAGCTCTCATATGCTGGTTCACTTCCCAAACATGGAGGATGCTCAGGGAACAAGGACGACAGATGGGGCCTCAGTTGAGGTCTCCCAAATGAATGGAAAAAACTCAATTACTCGGATCATCACTGCTGCTTTCCAAAGTATACCATAGCAGGAAGCTGGAGTGAGAAGTGGAGGCAGGTATCATATACTTGCACTCTGATGTGATAAATGATTCAAAGAAACCAATCTTAGCATGGATGTCTGCATCTCAGGATTTAACATTGTTTTGTTCATAGATTGGCTGCATAAATGTTGTCAAGTGGGAATTTCTTTGAGCTTTTATTTTTCAGCTTTAACCCACTGTATTCTTATTAATTAATAAGAATAATTTCTAGGTAGCCAGTACACACAAGCTCCCTAATGTCAGACCGGCGCCGTGGCTCACTAGGCTAATCCTCCGCCTGCAGCGCTGGAACACTGGGTTCTAGTCCTGGTCAGGGCGACGGATTCTGTCCTGGTAGCTCCTCTTCCAGTTCAGCTCTCTGCTGTGGCCCGGGAGTGCAGTGGAGGATGACCCAAGTGCTTGGGCCCTGCACCTGCATGGGAGACCAGGAGGAAGCACCTGGCTCCTGGCTTTGGATCGGCACAGCGCGCTGGTCGTAGTGGCCACTTGGGGGGTAAACCAATGGAAAAAGGAAGACCTTTCTCTCTGTCTCTCTCTCTCTCTCTCACTAACTCTGCCTGTTAAAAAAAAAAAAAAGAGTATAATGTCAAGCAGTTCTTATTTTCTCCATACAATATTATATTATTTATTCATTTGTTAAGTTAAAAGAATGGGTAAAATAAGTGGCAATCATACACATTAACTTTATGGCATATAGTACTAATTTTTTTAAGATTTGTATGCAACATGTGAACTAATGGATTGTCTTTACAATTTTTTAAAAGTCCTGCCAATGAAGCATTTGTAATCCTAGTCTGAGGAATTTTCCCAAGCTCGTGCAACTTAGAGGAGGCAGAGCCAGAATTCAAACTCATATCTTCCCGGGAGCAATTCCAAACCAGCAATATCCAAGACTTTCTTTTTATTGCTACTCACTAGCAACACTTAGATGCCTGCAGAGGATGAATGTAAATACAGCTGTGATAGCAAGTAGAGCACATTTCTCCACAGAGCATTCTGTTTGTAGTCCCAAACCTCCAAATAATGCATCATACTGAATTCAGAACAGAGTGACACAATGATATTGATGGTAATTTCAATGATACTAAAAACCACTACCATGAAACTGACATATTAGACATTTTACACACACACACACACACATATGTTTAGCACTTATTGGATTATAGAACACACTTTTTAATGTTCTGCTTATTTTATATTTGAAAAATTTGATAGTTGAAAAGATTAAATAAAACCTTAAGCAAAAGCAGTAGATATTTATAGAATGTAATTTCTATATGAATAATAAGTAGTAATGACGTCTATATGAATATATTAATAAACAAAAGAAGGTAATATGAAAGCATAAGGAATTTAAAAATTTGTAAAAATTATTTTTACATGTGGCTTTTTAAATTTGAAATATATCATATTTACTAACCAAAAATTTATTTTTATCAAATCCCTGAAAATTAGAGAGCATATAGAATCATGTTTTGATATATTATGGTAAAACTTGTTTTTCTAAAATGGTATCCAGATTGCTTTGTCTCCTGTTTTTATTGATTTTTATAATCAAGTCTATTTCCTTAGAAACTTCCAAAGATGTATCCTTGCTTCAAAAATATATTTTACTCCCTATTCTTCATAGCAGCTAACTAATTATTATGTTGATCTTATCAAGATGGTAAAATGGAATTATATTTTTAAACAGATGAAGTACAAAGCAGAATGAAAAGGATGGTTAAAATTGTAATTTTGCCACAGATTTAGGTAATTTAATTTCTAAATGTGTAATTGCTTTAAAGTAGTCTCAAGATGAGAGATTCATCTGCTCATGTCCCTTAATGCACATTGGTAACCACTGAATTATATCAGTGATTGAAAATATAAACTCATTCAGAAAATGTGCAATTTGGGAAAATGGAATATTGATTTCAAACACATTTCCTATATGATACACAGATAATACATATGTAATCCTATTTATAGTCAAATACATTAACATTTATTAAAATAAAAATCATGTTCAAATATTAATGACAAACATATTTAAGATAACAGTGATTGTCCTATTAGCTAGATATTTCACCTGACAGCTAACAGAATAATTTTTATAGGTCTTGATGTCCATCACTGACCATCAGAGCAAAATAGTTGTTTCCACAGTCTACCCTCCAATTCTTAACTCATCTGGTACTCTTGAGAGAAAGGGATTTATTTCTTGATTTATTTCTACGACAAAAATAGAAGAAAATTAATATATACTGATTTGGCTAAAATACATTACTAACAAATGGATTGCTAAATTTACTTCATTACAAAAACCAATCTTCATTTGCCCATATTACCACCTCCTTTAAAATACCACTTTATAATGCTGTCATTGAGAAGCAGTCTACTTTCCATAAATATATGTGGGGGCCGGCGCCGCGGCTCACTAGGCCAATCTTCCGCCTGCAGTGCTGGCACTCCAGGTTCTACTCCCAGTCGGGGTGCCGGATTCTGTCCTGGTTGCTCCTCTTCCAGTCCAGCTCTCTGCTGTGGCCCGAGAAGGCAGTGGAGGATGGCCTAGGTCCTTGGGCCCTGCACCCACATGGGAGACCAGGAGGAAGCACCTGGCTCCTGGCTTTGGAACGTGCCAGCAGCAAGGTGCCAGCTGTAGCGGCCACTTGGTGGCGGGGGTGGGGGGTGAACCAATGGAAAGGAAGACCTTTCTCTCTGTCTCTCTCTCTCTCTCTCAATGTCTAACTCTGCCTGTCAAAAGGAAAATATATATGTGGGGTTTTTTTTGGTCAGTTAATGAAAATTCCCATAAGCTGGTGTCTTGTTTAAATAAAGTCAACCTCTAACAACATCTCTTCTCTCTTCAGTACTCAGAAAGATGCTGATGATCTTTAAATTCATTGTGTGAATGTGAAATTCTAACAGTATAGTAAACTCTATAGTAAACTCTATTTTATATTATCACTGTTGCCATTCATACCTTCTTTCCCACACTAAGCTAAATTTGCTGAGGCTGGGGTCATGCCTAATTCATTTTCATATAACTTGTGGAGCCACCTATGGAGCTTGGCACATAATAGTCACTTACAATCTGCTAATTGATTTTCATGTGTATGCCTTACTGAGTTCAAACTGTTCAACAAATCAGTTACCAAATTTTATTTGGAATCTGCCTAGGAAATGAGCAATTGTGAACTTATGGTTACAGAAAAACAAATTTATAATGATATTACAGGAGTTTAAGAATGCTTTAATGCTGTTAAGAATAGATCATCTCTGGTAATTTACATTTAAATTTCCAAGAACATCCCAGTTATTAGCATAAACACAAGAGAGCCCCATGCTTCTTGATTTCAAGGCTGAGCCACACCAGCGTTGACTGGCAGAAACTCAGGAGAAAACCAAATATGCCTCACTCTTTTTCATGAGCAGAATTTCTTTGCCATGAATGACACAATGGAGTCTGTGTCCTTGGTCTTTGCTTTATAGAGGAGCTTTTGGAGACTTCCAAGAATTAGAAGATTATGAACATAAATTGAAGTAAAATTCTCAATGTTGTGCAAGGCAGATTTGTCATTAGATTTAAAATTACCCCCTCTAGTTTTAGTAATTGTATCAAAGACAAAATGTGAAAAAGAGGCTGGGTTGCTATTGAAATGGCCAGATTTGGAAATGAAACAGATGCAAGTTAAACAAATTCAGACTATGAGAACAATCTTTCTTTCATCAGTACTCAGAAAGAAGCTGATGATCTTCAAGGCCAAATGACACCATGGATGTAAAATTCTAATTCTATGGCTCATGCATTATTGCTGCTATTAAACTAAATTCCCTCAGACTAGGACCACATCTTTTCAGAGCCAAACATCTGTTTCAAATAGTGGTTCACGTTAGCAACTTAGCTATCCTCTTCCAAATCCCCTCCTCTCTCTGTAGTACTGGATGAGGTGAGAGTTAGAAGGCAGAGTGAGGGAGCAGCCATTTTGCTCTGATGGTCAGTGATGGATATCAGGACCTATTGAATTTCATTCTGTTAACTGTGGTCTTCTGCCTTGCCTCATGGCATTCGGAAGCAACCAAGTCAAAGTATTCCAGCCCCCACTGTGCTGGTCATCACGGGGCAGCAGGTCCGATAGAGCTCCTCAGGGCCTGCCTGGGGAGCTCAGAGGCTGAGCGGGATGATGAGTGTCGGAGGCAAAGGAACCACACCAGAGCTGGGAGATCAGTCAATGCCCAGGATGCAGCCAGGTTCTTGACTTTATTGGGAGGGGAAGAGCTTTTATAGACACAGAAAGGGGGCTGTCCAGGGCACAAGGGAACCGAGCCAACCAACCAGCAGAAAGGTAAGGCAGGACACGAGTCGGGCACACCCTCAAAGGCCTATCACAGTCGAGAACACATACTGTTCATGAATATGGAAGTCTCCTGTCAGGCTAGGTACCTCCCCCGGGGTCCATCTTGGATTGTTGGAAACACTGAGTCACTGGGATGTGGAAGTGCGGCAAACTCAAGCAAAGCCTCAGCGGCCTTGTGGAGCGAAGGCTTAGCAACTTTGTTTCCTTTTCGATTGGAGCCCCCAGCACTACTGGATCATCTCCTTCAACAATGTCCTGGGAAAGCTTGCTTGCCTCTTCTGCAGATAACTCCCATTACTGAGTTTGGAGGTGAGAATAAAAGGTACAACTTTCATTTTCTTCTGAGATTTCATTCTCTCCTCACTGTCCTCTGTTCATTCAGAAACTTTCTTCTTGACAGCAGCCCATAGTTGTATCATAACTGTAGGAGCTATACTTGATTCAGAAGCAATAGGAATTGTTAAAGCTGGCTTCAAACTGCTATGCCCTCTACTAATTGCCGTAATCCATATCATTCACAGTGGTTCTACTTCCTTTCAAAAACAGATGCAAAACCAAATTCTCATGTCCAACATATTTTTTTCTGTTTAAAACACATGCTAGTTTTATGTTAATAAAATCCAATGCATTTAATAATGCCTCCAAGTTCACTGAGGCAAATTTTGTGGATACACGTATTTTCTTCAGATAATTACTAAGCGATGGCCTATTTTATGTAGTAAAGGGAATTTAAAATGATGGGAATTTTAATTGAGAAATTGCTACAAACTCATGTCATTCTTGATTTACAAGCTGAACATTGATTAGTTACATACTTAATGCTGTTAGAAACAGTCTGGGTAAATATAGTTTCTATTTAGGCTACTTTTACTTTGATTTCATGATGGTAACAACTTCAATGTAGATATTATTTTGTGCTCAACATTATTTTAATCTGATTACATTGAAGAGTTTGTTCAATTTTCTGCTACCACATATTTTTATTAATTAAAATAAACCTTTTAAAATCATGACTGCATTCATGGAATCCTAAATTCTAGCAATGGCCTATTTTTGGTATGAGTCTTTATTCACTTCTTTCTTGATGTCTTTTGAGATACTTAAAATCTGTTTTAGGATATTTTCTTCTCTGCAAATTTAAGCATTTTTCTCCCTTTTCACTCTAATTACTATTTTTCGGAGTTTATTATTTAGATAGCTGATTCCTTGAAGTAAACTCCTGTTTATCCTTTCTTTCAGTTTTTCATGACTATTGGCTCTATTTTGGTTGACTTCTTCAATACTCCTAACTCTTTATAGCTCCTAAAAGATTTTTGAAATATTTGTAACATTCTTTTCATAGGATGTCTAAGAAGAAAGATTTAGAAAGAAGTGATTTTTGAAGGTTACCTTTTGTCCCATAAGATAGTCATGTTTCTCTTGGAATCAATTTTTCTTCTTTTATTTATTTTTCATTTTATCCATTGAATTTTTTTCAAAAGTTTGTGGTCTTTAGTTTTCACTTATAAGAGTGAAAGAATAAGAAGTCTATCAAGAAGTGCTAACTCTGTAAAAAAAATTCACTAGCATGCTTATTTTAGTTAAGAGATTGGTTGTTGGGCAAGCAGTCACCAATAGGAACAGAAAACCCAAAATGCCATTAGAAAGGTAAAAAATTGGCACCTGGGTTGCTCTAGTTTGCTGAATTTGAAAAATATTTTTTGCAGTAAAAGTATTTTATTATGATATCTTCATTAAAATATAGTTTCAACATATGTTCCAATTTAAAACAAACAGAAAAATGAAGATAATAAAAGTACAACTTCTACTAATCTGCACTCTCTACATTGAATGTATAACTTTATATCTCACTGGACACATGTGGTTGCATGGATATATCTAACTAAGAAGCAACTTGAAGTTTAGGCTTTATATTGAACATGTACTTGCCTAGCTAAATTTCAGGAATGTCATTGCTGAGAAATAAACAGGCATACCTTTTAGAAGGAAGCTGTTTGTTCCTACCACATAAAGCAATTAATAATGACAAACCATCCGATAGTGTATGAAAAAATTAACATTTTAAAAACATCCAGTATAAAGTTAATGCATAGTTCTGTCCAACATTTTTCTTGAAATTAAATATGTGGTATCTCACTCAGTCCTCAGTACAACTCTGAATCAAAGGTATTATCATCAGCTATATAAATAATTCATTTCCTGGACTTGCCTATTAATCGCATACTTAATACTGTGCATTTGTTATTGACTGAACTTTCATTCTAATCCTAGAAATGTTAAATAGCTTAATATCACAAAGTAAAGTGAAAATAGCTGTAAACCTCAACATATTCTATATTTTATTTAACCAAGTACTCGTGTATATTAGCATTCTATAACAATGCTTCAAACCATACACCTATCACCTAACTCTGGTATTCAAATGTTTACATGTTTTTTTAAAAGACCTATATATGTATTTGAAAGTCAGAGTTACAGAGAGAGGGAGAGACAGAGACAGACATTCCAACCGCTGGTTCACTTCCCAGATGGCTTTAATGCCAGGCCAGAGCCAGAAGCAAGGAGCTTCTTCTAGGACTCCACCATGGGAGGCAGGGGAAAACACACTTTGGCCATCTTTCATTGCTTTGCCCAGGCCATTACCAGTGAGGTGAATCTGAAGTGGAGCTTCTGGGATACAATCCAGCACAATATTGGATGCCAGAGTAGTAGGTGGCAACTTAACCCACTAAGCCACAACATAGGCTCCACATATTTACATGTCATAACTCAACATAAAATAATATTGAATATGTGTAAATCAGATATGCCTTTTATTTGTATTTCTTAGCTGAACTTTAGAAAGGCCTATATACCTTTAAATATAGGTGTAGTGCTAATTCTCCTTTATCAAGTGAAAGGAAAGATGAAGGTTGGCAACATCAGTAATAGCATCACCCACAGAGTATACATTCCAGGCATCTACATTTTTTGAAATTTTATGTAAATGAGTTTAAAATAGAAAAAGTAAAGGTAGATAAATTGTTATGCATATATTACTATTCCTTTATCTTGATCCTGAGACACAACTCATATCTAATCCCAGACTCATCAGCAACCTACTATAGGTCTTAAAATGTTAAAGAAATTTATATTCATTGAATTCACAAATTTTAAACCAAAACTATTGATTTATAGCATTGGTTATTCTTAGTTAACAGCAGTTTACTTAATTACAACTCACATTTATTATAATCTTATTTTCTTTGCTTATTTTCAAAGTGCTATATATTATTATTAGCTATAAATATCATATGAAAAGAATTTTTATTTTGATATTACACTCTAGAAAGATTGATATTTAAAATTGTTTTAAGTCTTCTATTTTAACTATCTGTCACTTTAGGGGTGGGTGTTTGGCACAGTGGCTCAGTTGCTGCTTGGTTCCCCACATTCCATATTCAAGCTCTGGCTACTGGATTTACCATGCAGCTTCCTGCTAATGTACCTCCTGGCAGGCAGCAGATGATGCCGCAAGCTCTTGAGTCCCCGTATGGCAGGCCCAAATGAGTTCATGGCTCCTGGTTTCAGCCTGGAACACAGCTCTGGCTGTAGAAGGCATTTGGGAAGTAAACTAGCAGATAGATCTGTGTGTGTGTGTGTGTGTGTGTGTCTACCTTTCAAGTAAAGTAAATACAAATATAAATTAACACAATATAGTACTTTAAGATATATGTAATAAATCTGAAAACAAAATTGACTATTTTTATATTATGATTAGGTTCAAATGTGAAGGAAAATTCTAAAATTCATAAGACATCTTGCTTCTAAATGCTCAAAATACTTTACAAGTACTCTCATCAAACATTGTATCGTTCTTGTGTAAGACATGAACGTTATAATGATGGTATTTATTCTCAAGTGAAAACTAAGGCCAAGTGAACTCCAAATCAGATGTCCATCTCCCAACCACAAGAGAGGATCAGAACTGTCATTTACTTACAGTATCATTTTCAGTTCAAATATTCTTGACATTATCCAGCTAACATGTAATTGACATGTAATTTCTAGGCACAATTATATTAATATTTTTATATCTTCAGAAATCAAAATTAAAATAAAGTAATAAAAATTTTACTATTATGTATTATTAATGTTTCCTGCTACTGAATATAGACAAATAATGGATTATACACAAAACAAAACTTGGATCATAGATTAGTTAACTTTATTTTATTTCAGAATACATGTCCAAATTAAAACTGGTTTAGGAAATAATTGTCAGGTTTAATGTAACAGCTGTAGATAAGAATTGAGATTTTTAATTTTGTGTTATACAAGAAATACAGAATAAATTAAATGGCTTTGATTTCTGGCTTGCTTGGGAACCAGTTGTGAAACATTTCATTATTAAAGGTTTAAACAAAGGTGAAAGCAATACTATTTCCTTAGGGCAATGCATCCTTATAGAACATTCAATCCTATAATATTTTAGGTTGAAATAATGGCAAGTACAGTAGAAGTACACATTTTGAGTCATTTATCAGTCCAAGGCTGCAAACACTATAAAAATTTTGACATATAATGCTATCAAAGAACTTGTATAGATGTGCTCAAGTGACAAGTAAATAAAATTCATGGAGTTATATATATATATATATTTATATATTGTATATATATATTTCTTGATTTAGCTCTGAAAGCTCAGATTAATCTGATATTTATATTGATGTTTCTGAAAACAAGAAGTAAAAAAGGAGCTGCTTTTAAAATACAATATAAAACAAAAACTCTTATTCTTTTTCAACCAAGAATATGAAATATCTCTATGATGAAAATTACAAAACGTTAAGGAAATAAAAAGAATACACAAGAAAATACAAAGATTGTCCATGTTTGTGGATTTAAAGAATCAATAGCATCAATATGTCCACATTACCCAAAGCAGTTTACATATTCAATACTATTCTAGTCAAAATACTAAAGACATCCTCCTCAAATGCAGAAATAAAGATACTAAAATTTATCTGGAGACCTCGAATAGCTAAAGCAATCCTAAGTGATAAAAATCAACTCACAATGGATCAATGATCTAAACCTAGAACCATCAAATTACTAGAGGAAAACATACAGTAAATGCTGCAATACATTGGCATATGCAAGGACTTCTTGGATAAGAACCTGGAAGCACAGGTAATAAAAGCAAAAATAGATAAATGGGGATATATCAAGCTAAGAAGTTTTGTCACAGTAAAGAAAATATTCAACAATGTGAAGAGACCAACCAACTAATGATATAACTTACAAACTGTATTTAAAGGATTAAAATACAGCCATCAGGGA